GCTACTGCTACTGCTAATGCTGCTGCTGCTGCTGCTGCTGCTGCTGCTGCTGCTGCTGCTGCTGCTGCTGCTGCTGCTGCTGCTGCTACTGCTACTGCTACTGCTACTGCAACTGCTACTGCTGCTGCTACTGCTGCTACTACTACTACTACTACTACTACTACCACCACCATCACTATAGAGAAACCCACCGACTAGGAAAGCTTTAAAACCCACCGACTAGGAAAGCTTTATTTAACGGACAACCCTATCTGACAGAAAACCTTCTGAGTGAATGTGTCCCTACTTTCAGTTTGGTCGTTGCTGTTGCACTGATTCAATCAACCATGTCAGCTTCTTTGAAATCTTGTGCTTCTTTCTTGGCGTCAGAAATGTGGGCCTCCTGACCAATGCAAAACGTGATCCGATAGAGCAACTTGCTGCAAAGCAAATCGATGCAGGCAAGTTCCGAGCAGTAGATACCACAGCAGTAGGCCGTTAAAGCAGACATTTGTCAGCAAGTATTCTTGAAAGTGGATTTTCCACTTTTCCAGGCCAGGCCAAAGGAATTCGACACGAAAGGCTTGCGCATGTCGCCAAATTCTCGTCGCCACTGGTTGTGATGGCATGCAGGTCAAAGTACATGTACAGGGAAGCTCTCTACCAATGAGTGAGCAGTATTTAATTTCCTTGGATGGTTAAGTGTGCAAGTGTCTTTGTTTGATCGAGGTTGGGGCACAAACTTGCATCCTTTGGGCGCAGCTTGATCCAATCGCGGCCCGGGCACATGGCGGCGCCTACAGCTTTGCAGCCTCCAAGTTCATCACCACCATTGCTTGGTTTCTGTGGGTCGTGCCAGTGCATTACTTGGTTGTGTTCAGGGTGGTGCACTGGATGACGATCCACCAGTCCAAACCACTCCTGCTTCGAATCCTTACCACCTGCATCGGGTACACTGCAGTCACCATGAGCGCTGCGTTGTCTCACATCCTTCAAGCGGCGCTCTACCAAGCCATCCCTGAAGAGCCTCTCATCGCCGGCGGGGTGTTTGTAGTTGTGACTCTTGGCTTTGCAGCCGTCGGCCATCATGTGCTCACCAGGCCCTGGAAAAAGAGGCAGGGGACGACAAGCAAGCCTTAAACAGCAAGGATTGACGATGGAGGAAGCTGATTGTGAAAGCACTGGTTCTCGCTAGGGCTCATCATCTGGAACCTAGTCGTTTGGAGGATATAGAGCCGGAAGATGTTGTGGAATCGTTTTCGGTTTAGTGGTACAGCCTTGCCATTTTGGCTTCGCACGGCTTCCCAATTTTGGTGTGGACATTTCACCCAACAGGTGTCTTCTTGAAGTGTGGCAATGATGCCCAGACTGGGCCCTTGGGCCTCATCCCAAACTGCTCTGCACGCCACCCGTCCAACACTCCCCTGAACCCCCGCGAGTGAGGGGAGTCCACATTTACCAGGCCTTAGGGTCGGCGCGCGCGGGGGGTTACGGGGCCTTCTGGAGCCCAACTTAGGTGCAGAAAGGCCATTCTCGAGAGTTCTACTCTCAAGGCAAGCTCAGGGTTGAAATCCCGAAGCTGGCCGTGATTTTCGCCGTTTCTCTCTCTCTCTCGCCCAGCTGGTTCTGGGAAGGATGGATCGCCTCGTGAAGCGGGCGTTCCATTCATATGACTACTGTGCAAGCCTGGTCCTAGCATGTCAAGCCCGGCAATGCCCACCATGGACCTAAGCCCAGATCGAGAACTAATCGGCATGAAGCTCTGCAAGAGTTTAGCGGTTCTCTCCTTAGCAGTATGTGAGCTTACCGTCGAAAAAACAGTTAGCTGTTTTCAGACGACATCGGCGGTTAACTGTAGCCCCGCATCCTCAACTAAGCTTGATATCTGAGCTGCTTCCATGGAACAGGCGAAGCCAGGAGTCTGCCCTTTCTTCCAACCAGACACCCACGAGGTGCCCATCCCTAGGTTTCGTGGTGAAGGGCTTCCCACGTAAGCCCAGAAATCCGCAAAGGCCTTGGGATCTGCCCTCGAAGGAACTTTGCACTGCTTCTTTCGAGAGGCAGGGCCCGAATGCACTTATACTTATACCCTGCAGGTAGCTGGAGAAAAAGAAGAGGCTCTATCTTCCGATGCAGCCCGGAACACAAGCACGGAGTGCTTCATGTCAAGCAATCTTTCATGCGGTCAGTGGCAGCCCTTTGGCCGCCGCTCTGGAAAAAGAACAACTACATGTGAAATCTGCATGAACATGAAGAAGCACGCCCCAGCGAGTGGATGAATCAATGCAGATATAGGCATAGGCTTGCCGTATGTCCTGTGTTCCCGCGCAAAGTAGACCACCAAGAACGCTTTCCGCAGCCAAGAGCCATGGTGCCACAAAGCATAGACGTGGCCATGCTTGGCATCCGCATACACACGGGTGATGTCGCCACATTCGCAGATGCCTGGAGATATGTTGATTTTCATGGTGTTTTGCAGGTTAATCTAGCTAGCTTCGTCTCTCCACTGGACTATGCAAATCCACCGGCAAAAAAGGAAATGACCATAGCGATTGTGGTGATCCCTCTCGTTTACGCATTGATTGGTCTGACCGCCCATGCCAGCTTCACAAAGCTGTCCCGGTCATACGTGCCTCGCAAAGTTTTGAACTGGTGCAAAGGAAGTGTTTCGTTTGTTGAGAAATGTCTTCATTGACTGAAACCGGACTTAGTCATGCCACTCGTCCGAGGCCAGCAAAGCTATCCTGATTATTGCGATGGCGGTGATCACTGCAGGGTTGCCTTTCGATCCTTGGCCCATTGCTTCTTTATTCCATCCGGATTTGGGAGGAGTGGCAGAGAGAGGACTGGGAGCAGCACATAGACAAATTTTCAAAGCTGCGACCATACTGATGAGAGGGGTCAGATCAGCTGAATAGTCTGAAGAACACAGTGCAGGCTTGGTCGTTTTCGCTAGCGGTAAAGTGTCCATGACAGATGTCTGATGTAACACATAGAGATGGAGCCAATCTGGATGCATTCTGACATCGTTTTCTCGGCTACCCGTCCAAAAGCCCCAAACACCAGGACCACCAGGAGTAGGAATAGTTTCAACTGAGATGTTGTCATTCCCACTGCGTATTGTGCAGTTGTCGGTGGAACTGACGGCCACATGTTGTGATTGGTAGTTTGTGGCTTTGAGTGGATGGGTTACGTCCACGTCTGAGCTGGGTTTTTAGATTGCTCAATAAGTCCATGCAAGCCTCATCGTCGTCTCGGCTTTCTTGTTGGTTCTGGTAATGTGGTGGTGGTGCTTATGCTGAAGCTGGTGGTGATGGATGGCGCCATGGGGCTAAGGCAGGTGGGTTCTGGTGCTGTTGGTCCTTGTCAGCCTGCCGAAGACCTCTGACCTGAGACTGTGGTTCTCCTACTCGCTGCTCTTGCTTTTGTTTGCCATGTCCTTGGGGGTTTAGGGTTTAAGGTTTAGGGTTTAGGGTTGGGGCTGTCATCCTGCCTTTGCTTGTGACGCGGGGACAGTGGGAGCCTGCAGCGGTGCTTGTGGCTCAGGCCGCACTGTCGGCATACCCGGTGAGGTTCGCACGAGCGCTTGTTATTTTGCAGAGCTCTTCTGTGGAATGCTTGGGATCAGGGAAGCTGGAAGAGGCAACAGATGTGTGTGGTTGTGAGAGAGCCAGTCACTTGATCATGCTGCAGGTCCCGCCTCACGGCTTTTGTCTTGAGCTACCATGCGGTTCTTGGCTTTTTTCGCTGGGTTGAGCCGCACGACTGCAACTTTTAATGCGAGCTGAGAAGCACGGTGTCCTACATGCTCAGTGTGTTATTGCTAAACGCCTTCCTGCATGTTTCTGCTGTCTTGGAAAGGTTTGTCTTGGGAAGAGGTCCGAAAGGATCTGCGGCCAGCAGCTTTATTTTTGCAGCATACTTCAGCCGCTTGGGAAGCTCTTAGCGAATGCAGTGCATTAAGACACACGTACATTGCTAGTGAAGTCGGGCTCCATGTGCATTTGACCAACCGCTGTTCCACTTTGACTCCCTCAATGCGCAGGCTATCCAGCTGAGATCTTGTTCGAGGATGGCAAGGTGAAGAGGTTGAGTAGCAGAACTGCGGCGTGCACGGACTTGGCCTTGCGGGCGGGATTTCACGTCCTGGTGTTCCTCGTCGTCAACAGCATTGGCCGAGCAACGGGCATGTTGCCCTATGCGCAAGGGCAGGAATACCTGACCAGTCTGCCGTGGTATGGGTGGCCCAAAACGCTGCCAGCTTTGTACTTGCAGACCTGCATGGTCTACTGCATGATGGGTTTAGTCATGCTGCTCTTCCGCCTGGTGCTCGCCATCTTGAGAGTGGACACCTTGGTCGCCTTCAAAGCACCACTGGTGCGATCCACCTCCCTGCGGGAATTCTGGGGGCGGCGCTGGAATCTCATCGTCCACAACCTTTTGAAGCGGTGTTTCTTTGAACCCTTTCGAGCAGGGCCGGCTTGGCAGCAGCAGTTGGGGGGCTTCCTGGCCTTCCTAATGCCTGCGGCTCAGAGAGCCCTGCCGCAGGGCTTGTTGGGGCCATGGCGCCGTGCTTTTTGATCCCAGGTGAACCGCCACATACTTCATCTTATGGTATGTATCATGTATCATAACATATACTATGCCATGTTATACTACATGGTATTGTAGTTTCGCAGGGAGGATGGGCTACTGCCACGAACCCAGGTCTGGCCTCTTTCATGAATACATGTGGCTGGCCCTACATGCTGCCGGACCTGGAAGCTCGAAGTACGTTTTCGGAAAGGCCTGGCCGTAGGGCCGTAGGTGATGTTTGAAAGATGGCGATGTAGACAAAATGTGTCAATCTTCGAGCGTGCGGAGGAAACCTGCCTGCAAATCGGCTTGTGCGGCTTGTGCTTCATTGTTCTAGATGATGTTTCATCTGCTTTCCCCGGTGAGTCTGTTTAGATGCTGCCACACCTGCAGGTTGATTGCTATAGAGGCTACCCTAAACTCAACTCTAAACCTGCAGGTCACTACATTCTTTATCTTGCAGTTTGTGGTCACTGCGGCTCAGGTCACGGGGGGGTTTTGGCATCAATTGCGAATCTCTCCGCGTGGGACCACATGCCAACCTGTGATGTTGGAAGAGTTGGAATTCAGGCTTAGCATTATGACCTGCTTTCATCTTGTGTTGGTAGAGGAGCCATGGCCCTTTTGACTAGTGTCAGACAAACATCGGTCGGTACTTGCGGGCTAGCTGCCCAGCTTCTGCCGCGTTCTGCAAGACGGTAACTGGCATCCGAGCTTGTTCTAGCTCTCCCCAGCTCCGGAGAGGCAGCTTCATGCTCATTCAGTCTGGAAGCCATGCCCTAAACCCTAAACCCTAAACCCTTCCATCGGCCAACAACTACGCCGGGGTGCAACAGCACTCGGGTGAGATATGCCAGGAATTTACTGCATGCAATACGACAATACACATGGATGGCGCGGCGTCGCCATCACAGACTGGGCCTACAGTTGTGGCGCACTCTGGTGCATAGAAGACTGGGAGAGAAGGCGAGCTCGGTACAAACAACAGACGAAATCTGGATGTGGCTGTGGAATCTCTACAAGGCCGAAGCTATGCATGAATTTATTGCATGCAAACCTGAAAAGGCCTACTGCAAGCTATACGTGCCCATGCTGATGTCGAGTGAACGCAGGACGATGTCTGCACTGCAAGCGAATTCTGAATTTGCTGCATGCAATGCACGATGGAGTATGCGAACAGCCTGGACATTCCCCAGGCAATGCTGGGGATATGATGTGACAATAACCCCTGGATGTTGCTGCGTGGGATATGCGCCTATGCTGGTTGCGAGCGACTGCATGACGACACATACTGCAAGTGAATTTATACGGGAGACAAGCTTTGCATGACTTGGCCAAAAAGGAGGCAGTCGATGATGATGACTGTGTCTAGGCATGCCGTGCACTTTGGATGCATGTGCATGCCTTGACGAAAGGCCAGTTTGGAGGTGACTCTGAAGTGAAGGTCAGATCGGAGTCGTGAGAGGTTGAAGGAGGTCGTATGACATGCGAGCTGTGTTGGGTAATTAGAGTGAGTGTGAGTTTGGGCATGGTGAATACGCCTGCCTTTGGCCAATGTGCTACCGTCGATGTACTTGGAACCTCGCCAGGCTTGTCCCAGTTGTGAGTGCTGAAACCCCGGTGAGATGATCGGGGTGCACCGAATCTTAGGGGCTTAGGGTTTGGAAAAACATCTTCGACCTCTACGCCTTATCAGATATCTAAACCGTAAAGCCGGTACCAGATAGAGGTCAGGAGTTACGGAAAGTTTAGGGTGTACGGTTTAGGGCTTAGGGAGGGGTTTAGGTTGTAGGAGTTCAGTGCAGGTGGCGCTCTTTGGTGTCTCCTACGATGCGGGAGCTGCTGTGAGGGCTGCTGCACAGCAACATCCTGCCGTGAAGGCAAAGCTGTTACCACCGGCAGATGGCTTAAGCGTCTCATGCTTCATGCGTGTGTTGTGGCGAGTTGTCTTGCTTATCATAGTGTTGAGAGCTGAGGTTGTGCAAGCGTCGAGAGTTATGGTTCATGGATGTTCTTGGCATTTGTGCTGAGCAGTTTTGTTTTATATCTGTCCCAGACAGTACAAACCATTCAGTGTCTAGGAGGTTCAATGAAGAGAGTTCGTTTCTGAGCACTTGGCACCGATCTGCATTGGACCCGAAACCCTAAACACAAATCGAGAAGCGTACCAAGAAAACCCTCAACCAACAGGTTAGTGGGTTTAGACTCTCTGATGCCAGCAGGAGTTTTGCTGCATATATTGGGCACACAACATCACGAGGAAGCCTGGCATCAGGTCCCGTTTAGGGTTTAGGGTTTAGAGTTCAGGATCATTAGTGAGCTCCAAGTATTGTTGCACTTGAAGGAAGGGGGTATACTGAGTATATTCATTAAACCAAAAGTTAAGCCCTAGATCCAGAACCCTAAACCCTAAACCCCTAAACCCTAAACCCTACAAAAAAGACCAGGAAAACCCCAAACCAAAGCAGCGCAGGCATTGGTCTCGAGCTTCCTCTTCGGAGATATTTGGCGGGAGCTTTTCCCAGGCCTGCGGAACTTGAGGATGTAGGGTTCAGGGTTTAATTTAGGGTTTTAGGGTTTAGGGTTTAAATAGGGTTTAGGGTTTAGGGTTTAAATAGGGTTTAGGGTTTGGGATTTAATTTAGGGTTTAGGGTTGCCAGCGGATTTACACGTAGGGCTTAGGAGTTATATGGCTTAAGGCATGTAGGATCTAGGGTTTAGATTTCGGGTGGAGGGTTTAGGGCTTAGGTCTTGCGCAAAGGGAGCTCCGGGCGACGAGGCAGTCCGCTGCAAAAGGGCTTTAAGGGTGGCCAGGTTCGTGAAGTGGAGTTGGTGAGGCTCTGGGCTGGCGAGGTACGTGTTTTTTCGTTGAGGTCCGTCCGCCACATCCTTCTTTTTGCAGGGTAGATACCAAACAGTACTAGTGTAAGATGGCAGTAGTGTGGAACCCGAAACCTTGAAGAACGTCGCGGTTGTCCGGCTCCCAACGTTTAAAATTTAAGTGTTGGGGTTTTGGGGTTCTTATAATCCAGCAGTATGCTGAAAATTAGGCTCTTACTTCATTACTTCCTAGGGCTCATGGGGAACTACGTATGAAATATGGTAGCTGTTCGAAGCACCTTCCCGACCTTGATAGGATCTCCTTGCAAAGAACGGTGCCTCCTTTAGAAAGGACTGAAAGCAACCCAGGACCTTTGCAACAGATGTTATCGGACCGTATAACAGCCTTAGCGAACAGTTTAAAGCCACAACACCCGGCTTCTATGGCACAGCTGATACGCCTGCATTCTAGTTGTTTCGAGGCAGTTAGAGGTTGCTCACTCGGCATGAACTTGGAGGGTGTGCACAGGGGCTACACGGCAGTTGGTTAATCTAGGGGTCTAAGTAACTACCAATACTATTTGGGGGTCCCTGCCATAAGTATAGTATTCTATACCCCCAAACCCTATTCTAATTATTACGGCCCCTACATTATCCAAGTATGGTTTAGGCTTAAGGACTTCAGCTGGCAGGTTTCTGAAATTTTTCACAGAATAGATAGACGAGGTATGGAGAAGACCGATTTCCTGGTTGTGTAAGCTTCCCACCTCTTGGACTGGGCGTAAATCCAGAGTAAGGTATTGAACAGTCACTTGAATTCCTCTCTCCAAAGAGCAACCGGGGTATCCATCGGTTCGGGATTGAGCAGAGCGTCAAACCCGAAACCATCGGTGATGGGGATCTGGGGATCGACCCACCGCTTTGTCAAAGCCTCACTTCTGGTATAGGCTACCCTTCAGACATCCTAAACCCTTGACACTGAACCCCTAGACTCATCGAAAAGGTGGTGTGATGAACCGCTGGTTCCTTCAGCACTGGTGCGATGTCAATTCGTCCCTCGTCTTGCTTTCTGGAGAAATTGCTCGGATGGAATATGCAGGTTGAATTTGTAGAAAAGCTTGAAAAATGTCAGTACCATTCCTTGGGGATGCGCCTTATTGGGACACCAAAGTCCGTGCGAAGAAGATTATCATTTCCGGAGAGCGCGCCTTTCTGTATTCCTTAGGGTTCTGTTCAACCCATACTATGCCAATGCTCTACCCCAAATTCCTAGTTTCATATCAAGGCCAATAAATGCCCTACGATAGTTAGTACGAATCCGTCAGAGAGGCCTCTGGCTCTCGGGCTTCGAGCTACATCAGGTGCTAGGGTCGGATATGCGCACCTTTAGTTATTCCTCATAAAAGCTTGTAAAGGTTCGCGGTGGGTTCGGGGGATCGTCTTTGTGCCGAATTCTTGGGGTCGGAAACTGTAGTAGCACCTACCCTCCTGCGTTAAGTGTACTGTGGGGGCCGTAATAATTAGAATAGGGTTTTGCTGGGTTCCTTATTAGAATTATCGTATCATATACCCCAAAACCTTAGTCTAATTATTAAGGTCCCTACATTAGTCATATACCCGAAAAGCCTGATCGAATTCTTAAAGGAAGCAATAGAACGCGTTCGGTTTTGCATCCGGCTTCCTTCGCCTTATCTTCTGGGAGTGACAAAAAGTTTCGGGGTCTGTAGGGAGGGCTGGCGATCCGGGGTTTTAGGGCTTTGAGTTTCGGCGTCTACAGTGTTTAGCCGGCATCGTGGCTTGGATTTTGGAGTGTAGCTTAAGGTGCTTTGGCTTTGGTTGAGGATCAAGGTTTGGGGTTCGGAACGGTAGCATGTGAGATGGGTCTTCTTTAAGACTCAGTATATATCGGAACTCGCATTAAGAAGGAGGAGTAAGAAGAATTACACGACAGTCAATATGAGATGAAGGTCAAGATATGTACAAAATGTCGTTAGGGCATGGTGATGAAACACGTCTTTTTGCAGCTTGTTATTGGAGACTTCTACGCGTGGCAACAGTACGGCTATGGCGCTTACCGGCAAGTTATTTGGCGTTGACCGAGGAGGAGATAGAGCGAGAGATAGAGATAGAGATAGAGATAGAGATAGAGATAGAGATAGAGATAGAGAGGGAGAGAGAGGGAGGAGGGAGAAAGCTCAATCAATGCCGTTGCCAATTCCCACTGACTTTCATTATCACGTTTATCACTCCCCTAAACCACAAGCGTGTTGTTCAGTCCCCAAATCCATACTCTGAGTGGTTTTTGGACCCTGAAACTTTATATTTGGGCACCTGGACCCTTAGGGAGACAGTATCCAAGGGCTCACAGAGCTGCGAAGCAGGTGGAAGTGTGACAGGAATGTTTAGAGCCTTGCGGCACGGGCCCCAAAGCCATGACTCCTACATAACGCCCGAAATCTCAGCTTGCAGACCCTAGACCTTAGATCCTAATTGCATACGTCTTTAAAACTTAAAGACGTGGACCTCCACAGTCGCTAACTAAGCCCGAAGCCCTAAAACCCTGTGTCCCAGATGTGAGTGCTGAAAGCATGTTGAGGGTTTTTTGGGTGGACTTAGATTTTAGTGTTTCGGGCTTAGGCTTTAGAGTTTTGGGTTTAGGGCCTA